ACGCAATTTTTACGACAAACAATGCAATGTAAACATATATGTTCATATGGCTCCTAATTACTCGAATTCGTTGGTCAGAAAAGAGAACTATGTAGCGCTATTTATCGCAGTTGAATAACTGCATAGAGATATTCGAAACAGCAGCACTATATTGTAATGAAGTGAAATCTGTAATTTAGCTACAAATCTACAGCCTGATTTTTCATTTGCAAGTCAACTTCCGAGCTCAGTAACTCTAACTTGTAACTCTTTTTTCAATGTTCAGGTGCATCGTGTTCGCTAAGTTTGGTGATGCTCCGTGTTTGCATGTCTCGTGTACCATCAAGCAAAATAGATTAGAAATTGCTTTCAGCTTTTCAGCTAACCCATAGGTGGTCTTCTGGTTACAGTGAAATCACAGACAATAAAGCAAACCCGACAATGTAAACGCATATTCAGAGTTAACTTCCAGTTAACAATTTTATCACAGCGATTGAAAAAATGGGCCTACCGTTTACGAGAAACAATGCGAGTAGGTTGAAAACACATTCTCGAGGATCGACTTCCGCTCATTTAATAGGAAGACTGCACAACCCAACTAACAATTATAACTCCTATTAGAGTTGCAAGAATGATTATACAGTATTCCTTACACAGCATTGTATACTGTAAGAACATTGGCAAAACCCTCTTAGAACAGCTATACAAGCGGAATGGGCACACCTAATAGGACACTTCAGTCATTTAAGAGGTTGTATAAGGGCTGCAGGTAACAGTTATACAACAAAAGTGTAAGCCTCTTGCAGCCGCTATAGGACATTTGCGTCAGTGCAAGATTCAGTTTTTGTCAACTATACAACTATTCTGTTACGTGATTCTACTTTATTGCAACCAAACTATTTCTTATGTATTGTATAGACGAAGTGAAGAATATATAACTAACACAATACAGTCATCTTGTTTACTTACATATCGCCCATTGTGAATTTCATATACAGGTATATGATAAACTTCTACACTGTGATATAGGCTATTGAATTACTTGCGCAGCAAATTTTATTGTGATTATCGTGCAAAGTAGTTACGCAATTTCTACGGGCTTCGTATTTGATTCATATTTTGATAATGATCAAAAGTATGTATGGATTTTTAAGATGGAAAACTGAACTTATCTGCGTTAAATCTTCCACAAATCCTATATTTAGACGCAATTACACTAATGTTTATCACTTTATATCTGTAATTTCGAACTGAAACATAATTATTTAATATCAAATAGAGGAATAAATGTTTTCCCAATATGGCGGGTGATTGTGTATAATCATGGCATCGTCCATGTTGTTTTTAGTTTATTAGAATACTTTGGTGTTGCCTGCAGGTGTTATACAATAATTTGACAAATGTCAGAAATGAAATACCGACAGAGTCGAATGATTTACCTAGAATTTGTACCAGATCTATATCTTCTGTTTGAACAGTTGATAAAACCTTTTTAACCAATATGCATGCGTTGTTTGTCTTAAAACATTGGTTATGGCATTTTAACAAAAATATGACGGCAGAAAGTTAGGTTATGGTGAAGTTGTATACCAACATATTTAGCATATGTACAGCCTTTAACAGTTACTAAACAACAGTTGTATAAGTGCTTCCGTTGGCAGCAATTTGTTCGCTAAAGTAGTAAATTTGCACAGCAAAACAACAAGGCTCGGGTTTGTTTTATATCCGTTACCATGGATGCCACTACATAACCATTTTGACTAACCTGCAGATATGCCGTACAAAATAGTTGTATAAACGTTTATGCAACAGTTAAAAATTTGTCCTATAAGGTGTTGTGTAACTATGCTATAAGAACATTTTAAACACCTCATTTTAGAGCAAATATGTTACAGAAAGCAAATTTGCATTCCACACAACATTAAGCCAGCATTCTGGAGTTCAGGCAACAACAATAGAGAGCTTTTATAGCTGAACGGTTCTTTTGCCAAAAGCTTACAGCACTACCTTGCTAGTTGGGAATGGTCTATGTAGCCACTAATAAAGCAAAATACTGTCATCTGGAGGTAGTATTCTATAAGTGATATCAAACTAAAGTTTCCGTGCCATCATATTTCATTTATATCATTTTTTATATCTTTATTCTTGTATTTTCACGCCCTCGTATGTCTGAACTTCTTCGATAGGTGGCCAGAAGTGGGGTCGACCCTCAGGCAACCAGAATTACGGGACCGTATATGGAGCGTGGTTGCGTTTCTGGAGCGTACGCGACGCCACTGCGATACTTCGGATACGTCTGGATATGAATCTGCTGCCATCTAGATCACTTCCATGAAAGTTCGTGACTCAGTGTGGAAAACGCTAGAATGTTTCTCAACTCGTCGATAGGGACATACATATCCTACCAGATGGCGGAACGACACAGCCACAGTCGAGCCAATAATTTAAACTTTGAAAAGTAAAAACGTTGTCTTCGTTATAGTATTATGGAAAAATGCAAAAATCTTTGCCAGAAAAAATGGAATATCAAATAACACAAAAATCCAATGAGAAACAAAAAAGTTATCAGCAATACTCTCTCTTCGCCGTTCTTCTGAATAAGGGTTCTATTGACTTCACCACCTGTACTAAGACAAGGGAGTATGCACATTTCATTGTCGGTTTCATCCTCCATTCTGGCCTTGTAACAATATTTTCCACTTGCTAGCTGCTGCGCGTAACACTCTCGCGAAACATTCGGAGCGTTTGCACCGTAAAAGGATGGCATGCATTAGAGAACTGCACGTTACACTTACGTTCGAAACTGTGGAATGCTTTGAGACAATAGATCATAAGCTGGAATTTTGCATCCCTCGTCAGTGGACAGGTAACTAGTGTATCTTCTCGTAACTATAAAACATGAAGATGGTAGTATTCCTGACGACTCGCCATTATTATCACTTTTGACGTACTCGACGTTTCAAAAACCAAAATAGTTAAAAAGTGACATGTAATTGTGACGTTTCTTTTATCTGAATTTAAGTTAGAAAAGTGAGGTTTTCATAAAAAAAGTAGTGAGAAACAGTGCATTTATGCATAAAAAAGTGTGTTAATTATGTAAGAATAATGCCAAATTTAAATGAATAATATAAATGAAAATGTGTGGAAAAACTAAAATAACTCATATAAGGTATTTGTTACTATTTTAGTGACGTAAGTAAAAATAATAAATCATATGTATCTTAAATGCGGGAGTCGTACTATGTATTCTTGCCCAATTGATTGAACTTACATTTTAGTGAATATAAATCGATATTTTGCGGCGCTTTCATCTGAATTAATAAATTGCGGCCTCCGTCATATTGGATTTAGTATGACGTCAGTTTGCTTATTGTGTTTCTCTCATCAAGCTCTTCATTTGATACCCAGATCATACACAATGGAAATGATAAATCGCCCTTATGAAGCATACGCCATATTAGATTCCAAATGGCGGCAGTCAATTCATTATGTATTGTCACACGAATCAGAGAGGCATACAAAATTCCAGCTCGATTGGTTAAGGTTAGTTGGTTCAAAATTCAGTTTCAGGATTTGTCCCAGACATGCACACTAACGAACTGGCATACTAACAGTTACTTGTACAAAGCTTGTAAAAAGTACCGCTGTTGTAATGCAATGCAATTCATATTGAAATCCTAGCTCAAATTAGGCCAGGTGAAAAGGAAAACGGTTCAGCAATTTCTCATGTTATACATATTGGTTCAGCTTGGGGAGAACCCTGTATATGAACAACTTTGTCATAATTAATTTTTATAAAAAAAAATCACCTAATTTAATTTCGTGGAGCATGAGAGGACAACTCGTTCGAAAACGTTCATAAACTACAATATGTACAGCTAGAGCGAAAATACTGAGAAAAGTAAATGTTTTCAGTGAAAAGTGAGTAAAAGTGAGTCGGCAGCACCCTGAGCAAAGTTTTCGAGAGATTGGACCAAGAAGGTTAACGAAAAATGAGGTTCTCTCTATTTTCCAGAATGAGCTTCCTTCAGCTAATATACTATGATCTATATACTATTTACGGTTCATATAAGTCTAAGATTCTTCTAGGAAAGGTTTGATAGCGAGATTACATTAAAAAATCTGGTAGTTCATCCAAAATACTTTTAGTTCCACCACTCTGGAGATCGTGGCCTATAAGTAGCAAATAACTGACATATCATCAAACGTCTGCTTAAAAGCAAAAATGGATGTAGTAAATTCAGATGGATCCACATATTTATTTTGTTATAGTAGGTAGTATAGCATTCAAGAATAACTTAAGTTTTTCCTGTAACGTAAGTTCGACATCTCAGACATGTTGCTACTTAGCCCGATACTCATTCCACAATGATTAAAAGATACTATGCCAAAAAGCATTTAAGTTACCCATTACCCAGTGCATTGTCCTTTTTATTGGTTGGTGTGTACAACCTGTGAACGTTCTATCGTCAATAATTTTGTGACAGATGCAAAATTATCACAACTGTTGGACACCGGTTCACCATTGTTCTGTAGAGATTGATGGGTTAAATTCAGTGCACAGAATCAAAGTGATAAGTCGTTGCTATCTTCTTGAAAATTACCATTGTATAAAAGTGTTCCAGGTATCTTAGTATGTTAGGAAGAGTAAGCCCTGCTATTCATTTTACGGTACAACTGCATATCTTTCTAATGGACACAAAATTCGGTGAAAGGTATTTTCCATTAGCTATAAAAGTCCTTGAATGGCTTCATATGTCGTCAGCAAATACTATGCTGAACAAATGTTTTAACACTGATTTTCTGTTACCAGTTGAATTCCTGTTACTGATACTCAAAATTTTATCAATATGAAGCGCAAGTTTTTTACCAACCCATTCGTTAATTAATTTTATCTGGATTCATATTTTATGCGGTCTGCCATTTTTGCAAACAACCCTTTCACAAAATACCGGATTCTGATACTAGAGTACGATGACTGGAAATTATGTACACACAAACGACTTTATTGAAGCGCATAATTACAACTTAAAAAATAGTAAATATACAAATTGAAATGTTGGATCCGTCTTACGTTTGTATCTCTCACGGGTTCTAGTACTCGAATATGAAATCCAAAACTTACAGACACCTCATTATGCTCTCTTGTATGACTTATTGGATCTATCTGCTTTCCACGAACCTGTAACAAATAGAAGATACTATTAGTATTGAGAAATCTCTAATAATGACTACGTATACAATTGTGCAATTTTATTACCAGATTATAACTGTTGGAATCCTTCCACCATTGAAAAGCTTCCATAATCTACATATAAAATCTATAACGTACTATCTGAAGGTGTCTAACTGCAAGAGAAACATGGAAAGAGCTACATCACATCATTTTTAAGGCATAAATAGGCTTTGCTCAAATTGTTGCAAATGTGGCTATCGTAGCTGATCAACAATAAATAGCAAATAACTCAATAGTTTACAATATTTCGAGTTCTTTTCTCTGAAGTACGGCTCCAAAAAAGTGCATTGTTTATTAAAATGATCTTGTTTTCATCCGTCATTAAACTGTGAAGCTCATCAACAGTCGCAGCGAGAAAATGAAATATTGTAGTGATGGACGAAAAAAGTGATTGGCTACATGACCAATCTTCTCCCGCATAAATTTTCCACATTTCATGACATAAGCTAACCAAACATAAGTACCAATAGTAACGTCATATGGGTATAGCTTTAATTATTACTGCTATTATAAGTACTATTCATTAAGAGTAAAGCGGCAAAAAGTAAACTAGCAATATATCTTTTGTTCGTTCGACCTCAGCTGTTGCGCTATTTCGCAACTCCTCAGCATGGTCCAGACTTCGTATCAGGTAAAATAACGAACGAAACCTGATTAACTATCCTCTTTCCAGAGTGTAAGGTCTACCAAAATAAGAGAGCACAAAGTGTCATCTATTATTGTTGTTTTCACGCTCGCAGTGGTTGATTCTGTTAATAAATCGCACTTTGTGTTGTCATATTTTGGAGAAAATTAATTTCAACAAATCTTTTATGATTAAATTCTTATTGAGAAAGGATAATATGTTTGCTTCAGCCAATTAGGCAGATTCTATAATAAGCAACAGTTCCAAGGATCTCGGGTAACATATGTACAATATTTTTGTTTTTACTTCCATTTTGAACTATCTGAAGATAATGATGTTTTGAGACAATAAGTATTTTTTTACAAGAGCGAACCTACAGTTACGAAACGTCACTTCTGTTATCGTGAAAAGCCGCCAGTGTCATCGAACTACTGTTATTTTGTGTCTGTATCGATGTTTTAATAGCATAGCTAAGAAAGTATCAATTACAATAAGCGACGCTTGCCAGAGTTTTAAAATACTTTCACTTTCAACGTACTTATAGCAGCTTATAAATAAAACCATAATATGACAATCTCTCATTCATCAAATTTTCGAATGTATATTTTTTGGCACCTTCTGTGTTGCAACCAGAAGAAAGAGCTTGTTATTTCACCTCAAGCCCACTAAAGGCTAAACGGCTAGACCTCGGAAACTTAAGATACCGAAAACCAACGATCCGCATCATGCGATGACAGCAGAGTATAAGCTGTGCCTGACCTAGTAGCAGATTGAATATTTCCGGTGCACGAACAGTGATTGATGCCCTAATCCCCGGACTACTCCGGGTCCCTTTACTTCTCGGCTCAGTTAAATGCACTACTATCCGGATTTCGCCCCGAAAGCGCTCTTCGCTAGCTGGTAATAACTATTATTCGAAGCGACAAACTGTAAATTCGCAATCCTACGTCGCGTCGTTTCCAGACATTAAGACGCTTATTTTTCCCGTTGTGTATATCCTTTATATCGGGAGAGATACGACATCTTGCAGAAGCCCCGTTTTACAGAAAAATGTGTATTTCTGGTAAGGTATAATGCACTTTCCGTTGTAGCTTTCGGCAGTGTCGTACTAGCTACTCCATCCTGATATATGTGAGGTCTGCCATCATAAAAAAGTAGTGTGGCCTTTTTCAAGTATAAATGACAATTCTGACGATAACGAAAATGCATTTTTTTCTTTATGTCTTCCAGGTGGCAGCTTATTTGTATTTTGTTTGCTGCACTAAAATATAGTACTCGTATATAGCTACAACAGTGTTAACGGTCATGTATCATCTTAAGACATCATTGCAATTGGTACCGCTTAAAACCAGCTACGCCCAGAACCGTGTAGGGTAAGCATTCTGGCTCCCAAAAGTGATATGTTTTTATGTCGCTTTGGGTGTAACTCTACAGAATATTAAAATTTGTTTCAGGCATTATTTTGGCGCATTTGCTCCACCACAGTTTGCCACATATAAAAGTTAAACCCTAAAAATTAAAAACCATTATTTCAACATCTTCATTCAGCTAAGGTATGTAAAGGCGATGACATGACTCATTTAATGATGCCATTTATACATCAAATACGTGGCCAAAACAGCAGCTCCATGATGTCGATTCAATGCTTAGAGATTCCAGCAACTTCCGTTTATTAAATGAGAATACTACAAAGACCTTTTTTGATAGTGTTTCTTATTACCCATAGACCGTACCGTGGCAGTGTACGCCCCTGGTATGTTGGTGATGTGTTCCGTCTTAGTTTGGGTTAAAAGCGTTTTAAAGGTAGTGTACGTTATAAATGGTGATCTCAACGTACTGTAAGATGGGTAGGTCATAAACTTCATCCTAAATCATAATTTATTGATGCCTAACAACCTATAAACTACATACGAGGGAACCACAACACGCTTGCACTGAATTATTTTATTTATGAACTGGGTTTCAGTCTTAGTTTACTATGAATTATCTGTGAAGCACCTCACTTGTCTTCAAACCACTAGTGCGTCAGTTTTATGATAGATATGTGAGAGAGGACTACTGTTATGCTTGAAGGATCGAAATGTTAAAAATTTCGACAATCACTAGTGTCGCATATTGAAATATACACCTAATGTTAACTTTATTTGACATATAAGTCATCAATTCATGTTTGTTAAATGTCAAATAAATTTAACTTTAATTTTTCCGTAACAGTATTTGCGATTACTAAAACTCTCTGACATTTCAAGAAGATTACAAGATAAAAGTTATATATCAATAACGATAACTGCTGTTAGTATAATCGTTATGAGGACAGGGTTTTTTTATTTGAGAGGGTCAACTTTGGTTAACCAGAAACAGTTGCAACTTTCAAAACTATTTTCCGCAATAATTTATAACTCAAGTCTATAATAACGCAAAAAACATATGTCAAAATCAAATTGTTGTGACACTGCGTTGTCAATAGAAGCAAAAGTCTAAACAAATAAATACAAAAGTATGAGTGCCGCAACACTTTGATTTTTATTTTATTTTTTTGTGTATCAGGGTGTTCCGTATGAGTTTGAAGTATAAGCTCATATTAAAATAGTAAGTCATGAATATTCAAAAATAAGTGAATTTCAGATTAAAATGTCAAAATTGTGAACATAGGGCTGGAGAACTATCAAGTATATACTAAGATAAAAAAGAAAATGAAAATGTATGTGTCGCGCAAAAAAGCTTTCATGCAACCTGACCCTTTATATAATGAGCTGCTATATTCGGATACAAAGAGCGTTATATTACTCCAAGCAAATTAAATATTTAAGTGCCAAAATAAAGGATGGGTGCGACAAAATGGAAACGTCAGATAAAAATCCGGTGATCCAAATGCAGTAAGATGCAAGTTTGTTTATTGCGGTTTTTCCACAAAGGGCCGTCCAATATGGACAAAAACAGTCGTTGTTATTTTTCAAAGTGATTCTTTCACGGAAAAGTTTTATTAGGAGGTCGTATAGTTTTCCGTCAAAGCCGTACTAAGACTAAGCTGACATAAACCGACAACTTGATAAAAAAGTTATCACAAAAAGTTATTCAATATGTATTCTACTGAAATTGCTCATATCTATTTCAAAAACAAATAGAAATAAGTATTCTGCGAAAAAAAGTTACTTTCGTAGACTGCGTTTTAATTATACGTTTTAATTATACAGTACACTTACAGAAATCACTCGGGTCACAAAGCATTTCTAGAGAGCTGTATTATATATGTCAAGGCGCACATTACAAAGTGCTCATAGAAGTGCAAGGAATAGTGTATTTAACAAATAATTCCACTTCCCAAATGTAATTTTACCAGTGTCTGCTTTTTATGATATATGGGAGTACAACATTTCTAAACAAAAATTTGTAACACAAGAAAGATCAGGAAAAATAGCACTGTGTCTCAGGAACGGTTAGAGTTACAAAGCTGATTAAATGAGGAAGAGTTTGCGTGACTCAATTACGGATATTTTGACAGATTCACATTTATTTCAAAAAACTAGTTCTACCTACTTCAGTTAATTTTCCAAAAACTATAGTTCCAGAGAAAATAACTAAATTGTATTTAATTCATATATTATAAAAGATAATTCAATCATGCATCTTTTTTCTTTCTCGGTTAAACAACATTGTAGCTCTGTTCCGAGATCTAGAGCTATCCCATCCCTATTTTGAAAATCATGTAGAGTTTTTCCGCTCCACTTCTGAATTATTCGTTACTTTTGCAATATTTTCCATATGTAAGAGTATAAACATTTTACAATGTCGCATAAAGTTCATTCTATAATACAACTGTTTAGGAATATTTTCCAACCTGGAAGTATGATTAAGACGGTATGATTAAAACACAATATACGAAAATGCTCTTCTTTCTGAATACTGTATATCGTCACACATTGAAGGCATACTTATGGTTTACACTCCAAGAACTATGGTAGTACACAGTTTCATGGAAATCTATTCATTTTCGAAGTAGATATAAGCAATTTCAAAACGAACTATATTCATATGACATAAAGAACTAAACAACTATCGGATGATACAGTTTTTCCTAAAAAGCTCGGTTTGAGAAATAAGAGCAAAAATAGTTTTTGGTTATTTTTGACCAACATTTTTAGAAAATCTAGACAAATTAAGCTGTTGAAGTTGAATCGATATTTATATTAACCCTTAACCCACCTTGTGAGAATTTTTAGCATAAACAGCCATGTGTCGTCTGACAGACTACTTATCAAAAATAAACAAAATGACGCTCGTTTTTTTTAACTTTATTTTTGGAATTTTGTAGTGACAAATGAGGTTACTTCTACTAAAAATTACGATACTTTATACATTTTCGGTATTATTAATGCAATTATAGTAATAGTAATAAACTTAAACACAATATTTACTCTAAAGAAAATTTAAATTCGGCTTATACAAAAAAAGTGAAAATATTGTAATATTTTTGGACAACTTTGTTGAAAAAGTAGTATATTATATAATCCAACTTAAAAATCAATTAAAACCTAACCAAGTTGCCTTGTAGCAAGAGCTAAATATTTCGTTTGTTTATACACATATCACATAATGGTTTCGAACATTGTAAGCAAATTGCACGTTTACACTGCACACATAAATATTTTGTCATACGGTGTTTTGCTCGTGGACATAAGTAACATCCCTTGCGTTTTTGAAGCACTAGATCCTCTTCTGCTTGTAGTTGATCTACTTCCGGTATTCCCAAAATTCTACTAATAGTGCTGCGTATATCGCGAGGTACTCGAGGATTTTTCTGGCGCCTCTCCATGTTTTCCCGAACTAAGTCAGCTGCTAGTTCTTTTGCAAACACTGATTTTTCCCAAACTGCTACGTTGTCCTTGAAACATTGATGTAAAATATACGAATTTATTACAGAAATATCAAGTATACGGAAGAATATCGCAAGCGGCCATCTACGGGTGCGTCGACTTGAAGAACTTTTAGAACACTTCTCGTCAATTGTATCTACACCTCCCTTGTTCCGATTATAATAGGCAATGATTTCTGGCTTTTGTGTTTCCGGATCAGTAAATTCCTTATCATGCATAGAAGAAACTAAGACTACCGATTTTCCAGGCTTACTCACATGGGAAACCATGGTGACCTCTTCTCGAAATCCGTATAATGATGATCCTAATTTTCTCTTTTTGTTCGGCAAGAACTCCGTGGGAATTTCTCTTTTATTTTTCCTAACTGTTCCGACGTAGGTAAGTCTATTTTTGAGCAAAACATCTACAAGCTCCATGGAGGTAAACCAATTATCAGCTGTTATATTCCGATTGCTCCCAAAAAAAGGTTTAGCGAGGCGTATAACAGCCTGGGTCGGTTTAGAAAACTTCTGTTCTTCTGCACTTAGTCCAAATCCATCGGATCCTTTCCCACAGTAAATATAAGCATTGCAAAGATAACTCGTCCTAGCATCAGTGAGACACATAAGCTTTATGCCATATTTACAGGGTTTGGCAGGCATGTACATTTTGAAATGAGTTCTCCCCCTAAAACTAACGAGCATCTCATCAATTGTCATTGATTCTCCCATACCATAACAGTCTTGACAGTTTTCAATGAACTTCGTAAAAACTACAGAAATTGCTGCTGTTGGGTCTTCTTCCTTACGATAAATTCTTGTCTCAGGGTTATCAAATCTCAGAGCAGCTAATAGAATTGCAAATCTATTTTGGCTCATTACTGCCCGGAATATCTCTCTGCCCGATCCATCGGTAGCAAAAATTGTTTTTATATTTTCATGGTTCGATTTGAATACCGATGTGTAAATCAACAAACCTAGGAAAGCTTTCAATTCGATTTTATCTAAATCTCTTACATGGCTGATACTGTTTCTATCCTTGTAGTTTGAACGTATTTGGAAGAGTTTGTGATTTGTCCATATAATTATCTGTTCTAAAATGTCGTCGGAGAAAAATAGGTTCCAAACCGGGATAGGATTTGCGCTGTTACCTAGGTCGCGAGCTCTTCCTTTTACAGTTGGAACGTTCATGACTATGTTGTGTTTTTTTACGCGCGACGAAGGAATTACCTCACTAGTGCACCACCTGAAACGGTTTTTTCCGTAAAAATATTTATTTTCTCCTTCCATAACTTCAGAATCAGCAGTATTTTTGTCTTCATCACTATCACTTTCATTACAGTCTTCTTCAGAAAAGTCAGAAGCCGTGTCGTGTTCAGATTCAATAACTTCATCTTCTGGCGCACTGTCAACATCACTCGCATCACTATCAACTTCATTATACCACTGTAGAACAGTTTCTCCAAACTTATCATCCTGAAAACGTTAGGCGATATATAATGGACCAATAGTAGAAGGATTAGGTGGGGTGACAAGTTTTGGGGGCGGTCCGTTTTAAGAAATACAGTCAATTAAATTTATTGAGTAGTCTGTCAGACGCCACATGGCGGGTTAAGGGTTAACTTTTTCCACATTGGCGCTTCCGTCTTGTAATTTTAGCAAAAAACCATGAAAAATTTAACGTAATATACTTGGAATATATACGATACAACAATTTTTGTGTCTGTGTCGCCATACATTTTTTCATAATCACTGTCTATCTTAATCACTTTTCTTGTTTCATTATAAAGAATTCAGTCATCTTGAGCGTTTTGTATCAGATTTGTTGATTATTGAAGCTGTCCTATTTGTTTGTTCTGGACGGCGTTCTCTGAGTATGTAAACAAACGTATTTCCTTCAAGTGGGTAAATAACGTATGGGAGGATTGAATGATAAATACAGACGAATCGATAATACGATTTCCGTATTTTATGTGAAGAAAACTTGCCTGATGCAAACGGAATTGTATCGAAAGGAATTTAATCAATATTTGCAATAAAAGTAGTTTGATTCAACTATTCAAGTTTTGTTACTTCATTCTCATGAAAAAGATATCATTGTGCTATTTTAACAATTATGATTTAATCTTCATTCCACGTGATTCAAGACATGAGCGAGAATATGACAAATCGATGGGACACAAGTGGAAGTTAGACTAGGATACCGAAGCTGAAGAGGGTAGTGTAACACTTTGTACGCCACTGCTAACACGATGAGCCTTCGTATCGGAAAAACGGTGCGCGAACATTCCGCGGTATTCAAATACACGCCGCATTAACAGTGGCGTACGTTATGTTATGCTACTCTCCTCCGTTTTGGTAACCAACAGTTATCCTGCAGTTATATTTTTTAGCACTAGAAGGGGAGTCGTCAATGTATCTATTTAATTATGAACTATGGTCTGGAAAAGCCGTTGGGCCGTTTATCTTCAAAGATGAGGTATAGTAACGACTATGGTGTACGCCATAGTACAATAAACCCAATTTTGTGTAATTCAATTGTAAGCTGCTACTACTGACATATGATTTTACATGTCACATTACCATATATTTGCATTGCAAACTAAAGTTAGCAGGTTCTCACGTTAGCTGCATAATCCTACTACATATATTGTTTAAAACATCTAAAATATTATTTTTTTAAGTTCAGCTTAACTAACACAAACATGACTGTTGTTGTTCGACGTTTGAGACCACAACCATCCGTGATAACCGATATCACTATCAAACAAAATTATTGGTTGTTTAACTACTTTCCAGTTAACTAATAAACTTTTCTTAAAAATAACAATCGTTTTCTTCTATGATAAGCGTCTGATTAATATCCTTGTTTTGCTTGTATGTACTTCATTGTGGCAATAAGACAACTTCTGATTAAAGTTCCTTTTCTCAACCCAGATTATTTGATTTTCGATCTCAAAAATGGTCATAATTTCAATTTGACCATTTTTAGCAAACATTGCCGAATATGTTGATATGCACAAGCTATTTCTAAGACTACGATTAGTGTGTTCAATAAGACTTTCGAAAATGCTCTAGGAATCCAAATAAGACATACTAGTTCCCTTCATTGTTCAATGGTTCAAGTTCATTGCACCATTTGTTAATAGTATTTTTTGCACCTCCAATACGACGTTCTAAATATTAGACAGCAAATACATTAAATGAGGTAATTTCATTTACCGTAATCGTCCTTGGAAGCAGTACAATCAGTTTCTTTTTTTAGCCCAGTGCCTTTGACCCGGCTATTATGACATCGACTAACCGAAATCGATCACCTTCCTGTCTACATTCTTTCTATTTATATACATTTTTGGCCCATTGGACGAGTTTTCCGTATTATCGCGTCAATGTAAACAGACGTTATCGAGAATTTTCCGCCCGAGTTACACGCAGTAGTAATTTCCAATTAATTAAACGAGTTTTATCAATGGCGCTGATAAGCTGGAGCGTTATAATATGCCGGTCATACGCTGTGGCACTTTTCAAAGGCCGGTCAGGCTACGAAGTAGAGGCATCCACAAACTAGCACCATCGTTAGCAATAGTGCCGCTAGAGTTCATCCTCATGTTATACTAAAAACCACAGATGTAAAAGGTATATTTTTCCTTGTCCATAGACAGACTTTACCTGTCCTACCGTTCATCTGGCAATGTCGCCTCTACTCGACACTTCACCGCACGACGTAGCAGCACGGCACAACGGTAGTAATGCCAGGACACTTACCAAGGCCGGCACACCCCGCGGTGAATCTCTTCGGGTGCAGAAGCAAGGACGTGTATCGAAAGCACTTCTGTATCAGTCAAGTTTTAATGGCAAGTTTATGGGGCAATCCCTGATGTACAAACTATGCCTAATAGGAGCTTAGAATTACTGAGGTTGGGACTTTTCTTCCGCCTCCTCGTGTAAAAATTTCATCAAAATCATAGAAGTGCTTCTCAAGTTAGACGGACCATGGGTCAGCGGACAAATACGACTGATTTCAGTGCAAAGATTTTTCGTGATGTACAACATATCATATGAGCCGTCTAAATACAAACCCCGCTAAGCGCTAAACCATAGAGTTCCAAGAAGAACGTTTAAAACTGTTTTGCGTAATACTATCTACAAAATGAATTTACTTTAATATCTTGTTGACGTAGATACTCTTTCTTAATACATATCATTCATCGTATTACAACAAAGAGGGGACTGGCACCTTCAAATAAGAAAAACAAAATGTAGTTGGTGGGGTTTGAGAATAAATGTGAAAATGGCGGGTTTTGCAGCCAAAATCAAGTATTCTTAACCACAATGATGAGAATGCCAGAAAATGACACGAAACCCTGTGAATCGAAACACACGGTCATGAGACCAAAATACGACTTTCCTATTGGTCACACGCACTTGGCGGTTTTGGAAAACAAAAAAAATCTGCAACTAGCGATGTACTGAAAGTGTATTGAGTTTTTGATGCTCGTTAGTAATGTAAATATCGGGTTTTGAGAAATAATATCTTGACAGAATGTGATATCAACATTTCCTGCGGAATGATAGTGCTATCTCAATTTTTATTATTTTTGCATTTGGCGGGGTTTGTAGTTAGACGGCTCATATAACATACCAACATTCTTTGCGACTACAATACTTCCCTGCCAGTAGCCGTGGGAAGTAAAAATATAAAACCAATAAACTGTATCGGTTTACCTCCATTATCCAGGAAAAGAAGCATTTTCGACATTCATTTTTCAGTACCGTTTATCTCAAATGTCTTCAGATTTCTCCATTCGAACCGACAAATTGGCCACCTTGATGGTGTGATGTTCTACCTTCACACTTTTTCCTTTGGACCTATGTCTACGTCAACAAGAGAGTTCGATTGACGAAATGGAAATCGGCATTACTTTAGTTAAATACCGTACGAAATGCGCGGAAAATTGGAAATTGGAATTGGACAGCCATCCTTTGAAATAAAAAGAAATGTTATGGGTGCTTCTTTTGTTTGATAAATATTACCCGACACATGTTTATGCTTTTAAAAAATGTACCTCTACTCGAAACGAATCACGAACGAATTCATCTATTCTTTAGGTTACTGTCTACTTATGCAACATCATTGCAAAGTTAAAGTGGCACCGTACACACCCAGCAAAATTAGCATACATTTGACATATTCACATTTATTTCAAAAAACTAGTTCTACCTACTTCAGTTAATTTTCCAAAAACTATAGTTCCAGAGAAAATAACTAAATTGTATTTAATTCATATATTATAAAAGATAATTCAATCACGCATCTTTTTTCTTTCTCGGTTAAACAACATTGTAGCTCTGTTCCGAGATCTAGAGCTATCCCATCCCTATTTTGAAAATCATGTAGAGTTTTTCCGCTCCACTTCTGAATTATTCGTTACTTTTGCAATATTTTCCATATGTAAGAGTATAAACATTTTACAATGTCGCATAAAGTTCATTCTATAATACAACTGTTTAGGAATATTTGATAAAGATTACCCTACACATGTTTATGCTTTTAAAAAAATGTACCTCTACTCGAAACGAATCACGAACGAATTCATCTATTCTTTAGGTGACTGTCTACTTATGCAACATCATTGCAAAGTTAAAATGGCACCGTACACACCCAGCAAAATTAGCATACATTCTCTCCTTCTACATTTTTGGTTTTATTCAGTGATCAGTATGACATGGAGACGGTTCAGCAAGATACCCACAGAATCAGTGTGAAGATGTATTTTCAGAACAGTTGTTTCACTTCGAGGTTGGCAATAGTGCGTGTCTGGTATATGGTTTATAGTAGCTATAAGACATTTAGGGCCAACTTCACCAAAAACAGTCCGTTATTCTCCACCTATAGGGTAACAGACCGTCAGATACAGCGAATGAGCTTCAAGTTCCAATCAACAAATTTTACCAACCAATAGCTATGAAATGTAAACAAAATACTGTCAAAGTATGAGATGACAACTTGTCATTGAAACATCACCAGCTTATTGAATATTCAGAAATTACATATAATTCAGTTAAAATTTTAAGAAATGTTTGATGTTTGAATTAAATTCATGTTTTAATTACTATTGTTGATTTTCTATTCATGTTTATATTATTTTCTTCAATTGACATATGATACTGCGTGTTTTTTCCTATAAACCTCTTGCAGATAACCATTAAGCACCTACTTGATGACAGGCTCTACCAAAAGATATTGCTCGTTTCCAAACATTCATTCATTTACTTGCCGTTCATCAGAACCATTATGGCATCTTAGATTGATATTCCCACAAAACCATTCAGGTTTTTTTTTCGTTCTTCAGGAACTGAACAAACATCCACACTATATTCACAGCGATTAAGAAATTCCCAAATATATGCCTTAAAGCTACCAGCAAATCTAAAACCTGCAAAAAAACTACAAACTTGCCATATTTTTCTTTTTT